TCCCCCCCACCCTCCCACCCCACCCCAGGCGGGGCACACCTATCCACCAAAATAAAGAATGTGAAAGTGTGGAGAAATTTCTCTCAAGATCAAATTGGTTGGTTAGTTACTTATCACTAGATACAAGTTTCTCGCATCCACAAATAGTGCAAACAACTATAAAGATGTGTGTTCCTTTAACCGCATAAAAAAAACTGATATCACTCAATGAAGATGTAAACATAATCCTGACGGAACAGTTTGCTACACATAGCACAATGTCAAGCATGCTCTGTTAAGTGCTTGTTTCAATGAGCTTCGCTTTCAACCAAAACTCCTACTCAATCTAGGAGTCCTCTCCCTCCACCTCACTCACTTCTTATTCTTTCTGGTTCACTGAGACCTAGTCTAACTAAATCGTGGATCAAGCTCATGGCATAGTATCCCTACACTAGTACATACCCAAATAATAACATCCACAACTTCCAAACATAAACCAAAATCAAATTTTGAAGATGATAAACTCATTGATCTCCTTATCTTAGGACCTTGGCTTCTTTATCAAATTTTATCTTACTTTCCCAACTTTCACATATAGGATAGGGTTGGACCATTTCTCTACCTAATATCAACCAAAAACTGATCTTTTTTTTTCTTTCTATTTTTGTAAATTTATCGTATCTCTACTTAAAACCTTGAAAATCAGATTCAGCAAAGAAAACCCATCAACGAATCAGAGGTTTCGACTCCATTACACCCTAAAGAAGCCATTTTTATGGACACCCAAAACCATAAACAGAGGGTTTATTCACAACAGTCCCCGATTATCCCTAGATGCAATTGAGCTATGAAAATGTTCCCAAAAGAAAAAAGAGTCGATGCTCGCGTATACTAAACAGAAAAAGGAACGGAGAATTTGTGAACTTACTTGCTGAATGCTCTCTGAAGTGAGAAATCTGCTTCTCTGGGTTTTTTCCTGCAATGTCCTGAGGTTTTAGGAGTTGAGACTCTTGGGTTTTGCCCAATTGGGCTGCAAAATATTGGTGGGTTACTTCAATTTTCTTGTTACTTTTTGGAATTTGGGCTAAGTTAGGAATCTTGACCTAATTTGGCTCACCTGCCATCTAATTAAGAAGGGAGATTTGCTATATTACTTCCTCCGATTACTTTTACTCACGTTTAGATTTGACATATTCATTAGAAAAAAATTATTGATATAAATATATTATCTTACTATTTCTATTAATTGATATAAAGAAATTGTTTATCTGTTATGTTATACTTTTTATGGTAAATTATACACTTTTTAACCTAAGATAAAATATTAGTTTCATGAAACACGAATACTTAATTATATGAGTAATACGTTTAGCGCCCATTCAAATTCAACCTAATCCATCTTTTTCACACTCTACTTAACTATTTCTTGCATTGATCATTAATTTATCCGCAAAAGTTTTATTATATGCCTCACATAATTGACGGTAATTGAATGAGGCTTGTAAGTCTCACAAATTGGCAGACCCATATAAGACATTTTTGAGTCCATAAAATTTTAATCCACCAACTCTTGAGACCCAAAAAAAAAATCTTACACAACTACTATCAGTGGTATGAAGTACATAATAGAAAATTTATTTTATCTTATCAATGTATATTCTTTAGAAGTGGTGTTGGTGGAGCTAGACTAGAAGATACTTATGATTGAAATTTTGTATTTTATCTTAAAGAAACTGTTAACAACATAAAAAATTAGAATTCAAAACTCATAAATTTTAAATCGGGAGGGGGAAGGGGAAATATAAGATGATGTTTGACCATTGTGTGTTTTGTCTTCATGCGTTAGTAGAGTAGATATTTTACAATTATGTTTGTACACCAAAAAACACAACAGAAGAAGTGAAGGACACTGAGTTGAGGTTCTGGCTGGCCTTATCTTCATGTAACTTTTCTTCTCTTCTGGTCTGGTGCATTTCATTCTTGTTTTCTTGAATTTTGAACTCTACTTCATTTGTCATTCATTCATTCATAGTTTCTTGAGCTCTGCAGCAGAAAAAGATTACATTTTTTTGTGTTTGTGCTCTCTTAGCTGGACTGAGATTATGTTAAGAATGAAATTAATAAGATGAAAAAAGAACATTAGATTGAGTAATCAAGTCACATATACACTGAAATTAAAATTGGAATTGTTTGTCTGTTATGTAGTACTTACCATTTTTGTCATTCACCTCATGTACTTACTACATGTGTTTGTCAGATGATAATGCAATTTTTTTTTAGTGTTGTACTGAATCATTGTCCCATCTTTGTGAGTATCTCCTTCACAGCTAAGAATACTGCTTCGAGGTTAGAGAAATTAGAAACCAATTTGCACCTAAGGGTGTGGCTTTGGCTTAGTGGTCAATGAAGTGGGTTGAGCGTCATGAGGTCTCGGGTTCAAATCTCTAAAAGAAACAAAACACAAGGTGATTTCTTCTCATTTGTTCTAGCCTTGGTGGACAGAGTGAGTCACCTAGTACCTGTTGCTGGTAGGAGGTGATAGGCATCCCGTGAAACTAGTCAAGGTGTTTGCAAGCTGCCCCGGACACCACATTTATCAAATTATAATGTTTTTGACAACCTTATACACTTACTAGGAAATGAGGTTATGTTTGATTTGGAGTCATTGCATTGCATCATGTAGCAAATCAGTCAGCTCAATGTGCTGTCTTGTTTCTGATATCAAGCATGTGTTACCTTGTTCATGCGTCCTGTGATGCATTTGGAGCGTAGGACTAAGTAATTTTTTGTCTTCTGAGGTGCTATTGTAGGTTGGTCTCTAAATGTCCATTGAATTATATCCTTTATGAACCAAGAATTAGTAAAGGTGGATTCAGATGGAAAGCAAGTGCCTCCAATGAAGTTCCCGTTGAGAAGTGGAAGCAAGATAGCATTTTCATTGATAGACGCGGCAGATTTAGACACTTTGATCACAAAAAAGTTTCACGGAAAAGATGTAGGTTGATGTTTAACGGCAGTAGTTTCATATATGTGTTTCTCCATCCTGATGCGAAATTCATGACTATTGTGCAGGTGGTTCTTTAAGGGGCAGAGGATGGAAATATGGATCTGGTTTTGTTGATGGTATATTCCCAGTTCTAAGCCCAATTGCTCAGCAAATTCTAACTTTTATAAAGACGGAAAAAGATCCAGAGAGGATTTGGTCTTCCTTGGATACTCTACGTCCCAACAATCACACCTGGGATGATCTGATCAATGTAGCAGTTCAATTTCGACTCAACAAACAATGGGATCTGATCATACTGGTAAAGATCGTGTGTCTCGCGCCATTTTTTCATATTCTGGCTTCATTCAATTGTCTGTGTGTCCACATATTTATCCCTCAGATTGTCGTAGGATAAGTTTGTATGACTACTCAATTGTCAATAGGATAAGTGTGCTATATCACTAACTATCCAATCATTCCAGCATACAAGATGGAGCCTCGTTTAAATAAGTAATACTCCTTTGCAGATGTGTGAATGGATACTGTGCAGGAGTTCCTTTCAGGCAGATGTGATTTGCTACAATTTGCTGATAGAAGCTTATGGGCAGTGTTCACTTGTTAAGAAGGCAGAATCTACTTACCTGGCACTTGTTGATGCTCGATGTGTCCCGACTGAAGATACTTATGCAATTCTCCTGAAATCTTATTCCAAATGTGGGATGATAGAAAAGGCTGAAGCTGTCTTCTCTGAGATGCGGAAGAATGGCCTTCCTCCAAGTAAGTTTTCTTGTTTTTTTAATTTCCTGTTATACATACTATAGAATCAAATGGCATCATAATCGCAATGCTATGTTAGTGGAAACTTATAACTACTTTCTCTTGGGCCTATGTAAGCTCAAACTCAGCACCTATTGGGTCTAGACCATGTACGATGAACAAAAAGAACAAGCCTATTGCTCTTGTGTAAACTATATTTCTTATAAGTTTCACCAAAAAACTAAACGATATGAACACTTAGATTCCCCAATCACTTATTAGTGACTGTAGGTATTCTTTTTTGCTCAACTTGTGAGCTGTTTTTGTAGTTCTCATAGGTGAGTGAAGAAAGCTTCACAATTCTTCCCACACAAATGGAAACAGATGACCAAATAGAAGTAATTTGGATAGGCCATATATGCAGTCCATATACTTTTAAGACTTAGCAGATTATGATCTTTCAGTCATCTGCAGGTGCTCTTGTATATAATGCTTATATTGATGGGTTAATGAAGGGAAGGAATTCACAAAAAGCATTGGCAATCTTCGATAGGATGAAGCGTGAAAGCTGCCAACCATCTACTGATACTTATACAATGCTGATCAACTTATATGGGAAGGTAATACAAGTAGTTAATTTGACTCTTTATATGCTAGTACTACAAAATAATTCCTGGTGGAATCAAGCTGATAAATTTGATTTATAGACAGTTCTGGGGCTTCATGTGCTAACTCAAGATTTCTATGATGATGCTGCTCCATCTATCTATCCTTGTGTCTCAGTTGATTGAATGACTTATTCATTATGCAGGAAAATAAGTCCTACATGGCGCTAAAGATGTTCAATGAGATGAAAACTCAGAAATGTAAACCTAATATCTGTACCTACACAGCTCTTGTGAATGCATTTGCGAGAAGTGGCCTATGTGAAAAGGCTGAAGAAGTCTTTGAAGAGCTACAAGAAGCTGGGCTTGAGCCTGACGTTTACACCTATAACGCCTTGATGGAAGCTTACAGGTGAACACCACTAATGTTTCACTGTTGGGCTCCTCTTTAACTGTAATAAAATTGTCAAGATAATCCCATCAAACTCATCTTCCATTCCAGTATAAGCTTTAGATCATTATAGAAGATGTACATCAAGCCCTCTTCAACATGTACATTCTTCTATAGGTATTTTCAGAGTTATGCTTCCCTCTTCCACTAGTTCTTCTCTTACAAATTTTCTTATCTAAAGGAACTGAATTGATGTTATCGTCTAACAGTCGTGCAGGCTATCCTCAGGGTGCCGCAGAGATCTTTTCTCTCATGCAGCATATGGGCTGTGAACCAGACAGAGCTTCATACAATATCATGGTGGATGCCTATGGAAGAGCAGGTCTTCATGAAGGTATTTTTATCCTCAATGTTAAAAAGGTGTTTCTCTCGCATTTAGTGACAAAATAGTTTAAGCTCATCTGGACAGCATGATACTTGCAACTTCTGAATGCATATTCATATAACAACCTAAATAAGGGAAGTTTTCAATATGAAATTGATGTCAAGTGAAAATGAGAAGTTCAAGAAACAAAGTGCTCTCAACAGTCTCAAGCAATCTGTTTCTGATCAATAACAAGTTTAGTGTACATGGTCTTGTTGAATCTACTATGTGCATCTTATGAAAGTTTCCTTTGTTTCTGACTGACTGTGTCTTTTCATTCATCTAAACATATATACTAGATGCACAAACCGTGTTTGATGAGATGACGCGGCTGGGGATAGCTCCTACGATGAAATCTTACATGTTACTCATATCAGCCTACTCAAGAAACAGTAACGTGTCAAAATGTGAAGAAATAGTGAATCAGATGCAGATATCAGGAGTGAAACTAGATACCTTTCTTCTTAACAGCATGCTCAACTTGTATGGTCGTCTTGGCCAGTTTGCGAAAATGGAAGAACTCTTGACTGTCATCGAAGCTGGACCATACATAGCCGATATCAGCACCTACAATATCTTGATCAATGCATATGGACGTTCAGGATTTATCATGAAAATGGAAGAAGTTTTCCAATCACTTCCAGCTAAGAACCTGAAGCCAGATGTGGTTACATGGACTTCCCGTCTTGGAGCATACTCCAAAAAGAAACAGTACCAAAGATGCTTAGAAATCTTCGAGGAAATGATCGATGAAGGTTGCTATCCAGATGGTGGAACAGCCAAAGTGCTCCTTTCGTCTTGTTCAAGTGAAGATCAGATTGAACAAGTTACAACAGTGATTAGATCAATGCACAAGAATGTGAAGACAGTAGAGTTAGTTTGAAATGACTTGTACAGTTTTCATGAAATTGCAATATTTGATGTGGAACTGTGGAAGTTAGAATATGGA